CAGCTATGCTGAGGACATCCCTGTCACGCGTCCCCATCACCACGGGCCCACGGCCTGGGGATGCCAGCCAGGCTGAGTGGAACCTGCCACCTCTGGGAGATGCTGGGGCCACCACAAAGCCACCGAGATGCAACTTTGTGCTGCATCGAAGCCTCTGCCTTCCTTATGTAACGCAGCTGCTGCTGGCACGGTGCTCGCCTCCACGTCCTGCACAACTTCGGTGCAACGTGGAATTGATCTCCACTCCCTGGAATGGCTCTGCTGTTAGCAGTAGCTGAGGAGCCTTTTCCGTGACCTCAGGCTGGTGGTGCTGGATGTGACCACCCATCTCGGCGCAGGGTGGTGGCATCCACTGGGTGCCCCATGCAGGTCCTGTCCTCTGGGAGTGATGCTGCTGTTTGGGGCCCTGCTCTGCTGCTGGCACAGCCCCTGTGGAGGTGGGTTTGGGCAGGTTTGCAGCAGGGGGTCTGTGCCAGCACAGGAGGCAGCTCTGGAGCTGGATCCCCTGGAAGCTGTGCCCGGAGGAGCCCAGGGCTCCACAGCCCAAGGCTCCCAAGCTGCCAGGCTCCAGGGCCGGGCAGGCAGCACGTGGGCTTTGATCTCTTGCTGCCCTGATGTTTTCCCCCTGATTTTCCTGCTTTGAGGTGCTGACAGCAGCCCCGGGGCAGCAGTGGGGCTGTGCTTGTGCTGTTCTGTGCTCACAGAGTGTGACTCCAGCTGGGGAACCCCAAGGCTGTCAGACCCCCAGCTCTGATCCCCTGTGCACTCGTGTTGCCAGTCTGGCTGAGGCTGGTTGCTGTGCTGGGGTGGCTCCCTGCTTGCCTGGCAGGGTGAGAATCACCCTGAATACAGATCACACCAGGGCTCTGCTGCCTTCCCTGGCACACTCTGGTCCCTCTGGGAGCACAGGGAGAATTATGCTGGGAACACCCCTGGAACTGGCTCTGCAGCTGCACCCCAGGAACTGAGGCCTGGGCAGGAGAAGCTGGCGTGTCTGGAGGAATGCCAGCCATGGGGATGGAGGAAAGTTATCTTAAGATTCCCAGGAGGCTATGACATACCACATGGATTGCAGATCCCGGGACGGGGCATGCAGGCAACGTGCTACAAGGAAGTAGGGTGGAGGGAGGTTGGCTGTGTGGATGTTCCTCCCCAGGGTGTAACACTGCCCTGAACCCATGTCCTTGGCCCTGCATGAGGTCCTTACTGCAGGGTCAGGTCCCCACTGCAGGGTCAGGTCCCCACTGCAGGATTAAGTCCCAGCTGCAGCCCATCCCCATTGCCATCGACAGGGAAACTCGCATCACAGGCTGCAGGACCTTGGCAGGCAGGGTTGGGGCGGGTTTGGATGGCTTCCCTGGCTCATAAACCCATCCTGCTCCTTGGAGTCAGTGCTCTTGCAGATGAGCTGCCACAGCATCTCCCTCCACCTTACCTGTGCCATCCTCAGTCCACTCCTGCCAGCCTGCAGTGCCCTGCCCTGCCCAGGGCAGGAGGACAGGCTCTGCTCTTCAGGCCGGGTGTTGCAGCAGTGCTGGAGCTGTTCAACTCCTGTGACCTGTGGGCTGGTCACCTCTAGCTGGTGAAATCAAGCCCACCACCCTGACCTGCCATGTGCCCTCACATGGGCTCAGAATGAGCTCCAGTCTCTGGAGGGAGAGTTACTTCAGAGCAGTTAGATGGAGGGGATAAGCTGATGTACTGCCAGATAGGGATGTTAAGTGTTTAATTCCAGTGTCTACTCCCTTATCAGCCAGATTTTGGACATGATAAGGCAGAAACAGAGGAGAGAAACAGGAGGAAGAGCAGGAGGGGAGATGGTTGCTCCAGGACTGTGAGATCTGAGTGTGTGGCTCTCCCCCCTACCTGCCATTGGGATATTTGTGGAAGATGCTGTTGGGAGGGGTGTGTGGTTGATTCTCCTGGGCAGAGAGGGATCCTCATGAATCATCCCCTCCTCGAGGAGCTGGTGCTCTGCACAATGCCAGCACACAGCTGTGGCTGTGCCCTGTGCACTGACACCCCCAGGGGCAGCTCCCTCCCTAACACCTCTGCTTTCTCTGCCCACAGCCTCCCTCCAGCGCTGCCTTTCAGGATGATCCGCCCAGGAGCACCGGTGGGGACCCTCCAGGCACATCACTGCTGACCCAGCACTGGGACCCCCGTGCAGCCCGACCACCCTCCTCCCTGGGCACTGCCAGCTGCTGGCACCCATGCAGAGCT